TTCTTAAGGGAGCATGGCTTAACGCAAGGACCAGACACGCCATCTCCAGCAAGCTGCCTCATACCACCCTGCAAGCAGCCAGCATGCCCAACGCCTGCCGACAGCAGTTTCCCAGCTGAACATGAGAAAGTATCTCTACCACAGTAACGTGACAATTGTAAACCAAAGACCTTATAAGCCATACACCGAGCAGAGATCTGTCTGAATAAGTACTTCACTTGATGATTAGAACTTGTATTTCCTTTTGCATTTTGTTTTTCTGACAGCTCCTGACGCAGAGACAGAAGAGGATGAGTCACTAGCAGATCTGCACAACCACACACGAGTGCTCAAAGCCTTCCTAATTCTGCACTGGACCATTAAAAGCTTGACTTCTAAGAATGAACCTGACATTCCAGGGAGAACTCCTCATATGTTCTCTGTGGTTATAATATGCGTTAGTAAACTTTTTTAAAGGTAGCAATAATTCTCAGACAAGTAGAGAGAACAAAAAAAAACAAAAACAAAAAAAAGACGACTGAACTACAGAACAGCTCCCATTGAAGCAGTATTTTCCTCTGCTGGAAAGGAAGCCCCAAAGCCCTAATCAGAAATTATTATTCAAAAAATAAAGGTAGTCAAGCTACATCTTCTCTCCCCTGCCTCCCAGGGAGAGACCGGTATCTACGTTATGAGACATAGCGCATTAAAAGCTGACTGCTTGTTTTCTATCATCACCTAATGTTTTCAACTGTAAATTCTCAGCCCACGTTGAGGAAGGCTGAATTTGAAACAGAGATCAGGAATTTAAAGCAGCAATACAGTCTGCATATAAAAGTTAACACTAAACAGGAATATACATCCATCTTCCAATTGCAATAAGCAGTACCAGGCAGGAATTAGCAATCACCACAAACAGAAAAAGCAAATTTTTTTCTTTAGTCGCTGGAAATGTTATTGTTGTAAAACTATTAACAGACACATTCCTCCTTCAAAAACAGAAGAAGAGGAGAAGCAAATCCCCCTAATATTTTTTTAATAGGACATAACAGAAAAAAAGGAAAGTGTTTGTAGCGAAGCAACGCAGGCAGCTGTAATCTCAAAGGCGAGTAAGATGACTACAGTGCTCCCTCTAGTGCCAACGTACACAGGTGAGTCACCTTCCGTTAAAATCACAGAAAACTGGTGGTCAAACTCTAAATTTTAGCCACAGCAATAAATCTCTCTTCAAGAAACTCTGCAGCAATACAGCAGGTCCTTCAACCGAAGCAGCATTAGAAAGACTCCACAACCAAGACGAATTACAACATGTAAGCCTCAGGAATGGGATCTACATCACGAGAAACAGGTTTTTTACACCAGCGATGCTGCCAAGTGCAAGCCACTGCAGCACGTAACGAAGAGCATGAAATGAGGTCTCGGATCAGAAATGTGGATTCGAATTTAAATTTACACCATTTACAAGAGGTGCGTGTTCTGGAAGGAGATGAAAAAAATGTTTTCTATCCAGTAGCACACAGGATACTTGGGAGCACATACAAAGGATCTCAGGAAACCAAATTGTAACAACGTCCGTACTGGGAAGTGTTTATATCAAGTGTACAGTTCAGGCCAGTAGTAAGAGAGGGCTGAGGACAGCAAGATCATAGCCAATGCCATCCTTCCCTAACAATTTAGTAAAGGAAGTTTACCAATTTGTTTTGCCAGTGTGGAAAATTTGGTTCAGCTTGTGTCCAAATAGTGTTTGGCCATCAACTCAGACTTTCTCATTGCAGTGAAACTTGATACACTTGAGAGAGAAAAGAAGAAACGTTTAAGGAGGGACAATAAGAGATCCATAACACGCAGTTAGCTGTGACCACGCGACCTCACCTGACAGACAGGCAGCTGTTTGCCAGGAAGGGTAACAACTCACCCGTGCAACTGTTACCTCGGTAATGAACTGGAACAGGACTCACTGGGAAAGTTCCCAAGTCCAAAGCACAGCCGACCGGCTCCCTGAGATCCTCTGGATTTGGAAAGCAGACACATGAACTTCCCTGCTTCCCTCTAGGTGCTACCCAGGGAGCAACGAGACCTTACTACAAGCGACCGCCACAACAGGTCAAGGCCCTTGGCAACATTTCAGTTTGTTTTGCTGCAAACCACTCTGCAGTGTCACTCACCTTTGGGTGAAAACGAGACAAAAAACACAAGCAGGTTGCTGAAGTGAAGGCAAAGCAACACGAGAGCAATAGCTTCTGCAGTTACATTCCACAGCCTCCCAGTTGCAGACTCCACAGCGATTAAAGGTGTCTGACAGTTTGACAAGGCTTACTGTGACATGCAGTGTTCCTGCCCTCATCTGTCCCTCTCCATCCCTCAATATCTACAGAAACAGGCGGAGATGGTAACATTGGATCATTTTTAACTTCAGTACGTGTTTGATAAGCCTTAGCTGGGATGAACAAGGTGGTTTAGATCCCCGAGATGCTGCAGGAGAGTTTCTGAACACCGAGGAATACATCCTTATGCCAGCTATTCTCTTCTCACATTTTCAGGATTTTTCTGCTGGATTCCAAGGAGAAAAAGGAATTTTCGTAATATTACACTTGAAACTTCAGAAGAAATTTGGTTCAGGGACAACATAGAATACACAGGCTGGCAAGCGTCCTCGCTGTTGCCTACTCAAACACGAGTGATTGCAAAGCCATTGGCACTGCCGTGTCCTTGCTGGTGCTGCATGTTTTGGAGTGCATCCCTACAACTTCTGGAGCCCCTGAGCATACCTGCTTCTGCTGTAGGAAATGCAATCTGGATTTACAACAGCAACACACAGGTGCCTGCAGGACGAACCGTAAGAGCATGGTAGGTTGTCAGCTTGTAAGTCCTGTTAGGGATTTTAAACATCACAGGATAGGTGGTGGTTTGAAGGCTACAGGTACTGAGGGCCACAGCAGAAGATTCAGAGTTATTGCCGGCAACAAAAGCGATTAGACCTCCTACGCCCACAGCTATACAGTATATAGCATATATATATAAGAAATCCTCTGGCACAGAAATCAAAACTGAGGACAGACGGCTTTCTGTACAAGACCTTGGGTTATATCATTCACAACAAATAATTGGTTGCCTATGAAATAATTCTGTTCAGATTTTGTGGATAACAAACCACACTAGTTAAGGAGGGACTGGTTTGCTTTCTGTCACAAAGAACAGTTACATGTGCCACTTTATTTGTACTTTCTGCCCGAACAGTGAGCATGAAAGCCCTACATATGAATCCCCCTGCTCTGAAGAAGATACCACATAGTTTCATCAGAATATCTTTGCTATGTCATCAATTTTAATTCCAACCTGTACTTCAATATGCACATAACTATTTTGAAATACAATGAAAACTTGAAGTCAACAGCATCAGTCACCAGCATTGCAGCTTTCAGTAAATCCTTCACAACTTCAGAAAAATCTCTATAAACATCGTGGAAAGTAGATACAGAATGTACAGAGAACAATTTTCTATACAAAAGTGCATTTTAGCAATAGAATTAGCAGAGAACCTGGGAAAAAAAAAAACACTTCAATTTAAGCAGTACCATATACTCTAATCTATACCCCCACCTTTCCCCCAAAAAAGGAAAAAAAAGAAATTTCACAAAACCCCACTTTCCCCTTGCTTTGGTTATGAACTATATTCAAGGCTTCAACATTACAATTTTATTTTTTTTTTTACATTGAAGAATGTATTTGTAATTTCAAAATGTTTTAAAGTTAGCCAGATGAGAGAGAATGCAAGTATGATTAATCAGAGTTAATAGTCAAAATAGACATGCTTTGAGTATTACTGGGATGTGCCCTTGGTAGCTTAATAAATCTTTGCAATCCTTAAATGGAAAATTGCATGTTGACTTGTCTTTTCTGTGCCCAAGAACTGCAAGATCAGTAAGCTAAAGAACATGAAACCAATAACTCTAACAACATTCACCATGAAAATCTGGTTTATAAGAATGAACTTCAAGAGCCCCCCAGTCAGGTTTATTAATATTTATAGACCAATGCATCAACTGATTTCAAAGCTGAAAGTGTGTTAGAAGAAAAGAAATGGCTTCAGGCCATTCAGCGTAGATAAACAGTAAATATTGCCATTTTTATGTTTCTATGTTATATATGCACTCTGATGTAAACGCATATGAGTAAGTTCAAGCAGGTTGGTTGGTTTGTTTTTTCCCCAGAGAATGATCTTCACAGGTTTCAAACCACAATATGAGAACTAAAAGTTAAGCCCAGGAAAATCTTGCAAAGACTCTTCTTGCTCTTCTTAGAAAGCACCCCATAGTGAGCATACTATAAGCATCTTTTAATCAGTTTCCCAGATAAAGAAAAATAGATATTATCTTAACAGAAACAAAGGATGACATTAGATACACACATAAAAATTAGACAGGTTTGTCAGGCAGCTACCTTTCTTCCTCATACTTAAAATCGTATTAGAAAAGAATGTTCTCTATTGCTTACAGTACTATTGCAGTCAGACTTTTAGTACTCCTTCTAAGCCTTTTTAGAGAAAAAGTTACCGTGGAAGCAAACCATTAATGGAGTATAAGTTAGTGTAAATTGGTTACATTCATATTACCGTGGGTACAAAGCACCTAGACATACAGCTTCAGTACCATGGAGCCATACAACTATGAGCTTTTTTCTCTTTGTCTCTATTTTGCTTTTAAGCTTGACATTTTTTTATCTATGAATAAAAAGCAGAGATTTGATTCTTTTTTTGAAAAAGCACTAGTAAGAATGCATGATTTTAGCAGTCTGTTGCTCTCCTTTGTCTATCTGAACCCAATAATCTGTAGATAACTTCCTGCAAAACAAAGCAATAGCCACAGTGGCCAACATTCAAATCAGCAAGACCAGGTTTAATTAAAATTCAACTGTTTGACTAATACCACAGGTATCCAATACAAATTCACAGAATCATTTAGGTTGGAAAAGACCTTTAAGATCATTGAGTCCAACCATAAACCTAACACTGCCAAGTCTACCACTTAAACCATGTCCCTAAGCACCACATTTACAGGGAACACCTCCAGGGATGGGGACTCGACCACTTCCCTGGGTAAGCATACAGCATATTGCAATGAAAGACAAGAATCTGACGAAAACACCGTCCCCCTCCACAAAATGAGTGTGTCATTAGTTCTAAGACAGTTGTTGAAAGAAAAGGGAAAAAACCCAAGCACGTAGAAGTATGTGAGCGCTCTTGAATCCCACAGCTACTTCAGGCCTGATTCTCTGAGATGCAAAGCACTTGGCAAAAACAACATTCCAGAAAGCAGGATGTTATTCTGCATTCTTAACAGACCATTCAGAGTTTTGTATTCTTAGGTTATAAGCATCCTGGGACTACAAGATTACAGAACTATAAATTTTTACCATGAAACCCCTGGAAATCCACTCTGTCCTATTGTTTTAACTGTCACACAAGTGACTAGAGTACCCAGCTGGAGATGACACACCACAGCCAGCTAGTGTGCCACCCAGGACCTTTTCATCCAGTGTAACAGATGAGCAACTGGATCCATCTAATCACTTGGATTAAATTATATTTACATGCTCACATTAAGATCAAGATGGCAATACTATCCTCCTCATTTCATCATCTCTGGAAGCTAGCAGACAGGTGACCAGAAAGAACCATACCTCATCAAAATGAAGGGTCTTCTCTCAACAAAGCCTGAGGGATTTTAAACTCTGAAGAGCTGCTGAAACAGAATAAAGTGACACACTTTCATGGTCCACTAGTATGAAGTGTGCACTTTACTTTAGACAAAAAACCAAACCAACGTTTCAAAGTCACTACAGAAAATAAAGGTACTGAACTGTGACAGTATACATGCAGTGAAACGTTTCATGATGAATTCATCCTTTACAGCCATGGTAAGTTACAAGAGTGCAAACAACTGCACTCTGAAATTAGCTGAATTGACAGCAATTCAATTTTTCCTTCCATACAAGGTATTTACCAGAAGCTCCAGATTTAAGTCAATCTAAATTCTCAGTAACCTGTATACTGTTAAGAAGTTTTTGGTTTCTGCAGGAGGAAGGGAGGCATCAACCAGCTATAGTGCAGTGCAAGCAAACAGTGACAGGTAACAGCCACTTCTGGTTAGTGGCCAAATAACTGGCCATACGAGATAGCTAACACTCAAGTTTAAAATGACATTACATAGCTTTTTAATGAGTTAATGGCCAAGTCTGGGTACCTGTTGTCTAGCAGCAGTAGGAGTGACTAAGTTCACACATACTAAGTTTGACTACGGACCTCATTTACTTCTTATCAAAGCCCTTTCAGAGGCCATTGTTCAGATATTTTAGTGGTCAGTTTATTCTGAGGCTACAAGGAATGCCACTTCTGAAAGAAAACCACTTCAGTTGTGCAGGACACGAAGTGAATGCAAATAGTCCTATATAAAGTTGATCATGGGATTCTGCAGGACTGGGCTATATCCTGCAATTACAGGCGCCTGTGGCCATGCTAAACTGCCAAACTCCTCAATTGACAAGAGCAAAATTAAAGTAATGAAGCATAATGGAAAATTACTTCCTAAACTCAGAACTAGAAAATACCTTTATAATCTTTTAAGTTTCACATTGAAGTTTAGAAGTATCATTTTTATCTCAGCTGTGTGGGGAAGGAGTTCTGTAACAAGTAGTTCCAAGATAAAGACAAAAGTCACCTTACAGATTGTCAGAATTAGGAAACAGGTTAAAACTACTTTTACCTCCCTACCTGATAGACTCAATTTCACCTCATTTTCTTAGCAAGAGAAATTTCAAAAACAGATAGACAACAAAAGGAGAATTCTGAAACGTGTAATGGTGTAACAACCCACACAGAAGACACATCCTCAGCTAAACATATAATTAAAAAGCACAGCTGCCTTAATTAAGTTCTCTTGCCAACAACATGAATCTATTTAGATATGCTTCTGGGGAAAAAAGCCACCGAAGTTGGGTGCCGCTTGTTTGCACTTCTGTTTCCAGAAGCATTTTCAACTATTGTAAGTAGTGTCCTAGACAACTTAATTGCAGATTAGTGTACCTTCAATGCATAAAGATGTTTTTATTTGAAACTTTTCATAGCAATACTAGGGATGTACTGGTCAACCATTACCAATCATACTATAAGATATTGAGCAGCAAAATAACTTCCTGAAGACTAAGCTTGCAAGTTGGTTTTTTGAATTCTAATTGCTTCCTAAAGAACTACATCATTAGGCATTATTTGTGTTACAGATTCCCTGCACTAGAAGTCCCGCTTCTTGTTTTCTGTGTAGTTTGAGTTAAATCACAACTTCTAGAAAAGGATTTATCACAGTACTTAGATTTTGTGTGATCCAAGAGCAAGACTGAAGAAAGCCCTATAGAACTAAAGATTTTTTCCTCGTGCTAAACAATCTTCCTAATAATGGGAAAGGAAGACAGAACAAGCCAAGTGTAACATTAACTTTTTAAGTTGGAAAAAAACAAAAAAGCTGAAGCATAGTAATGCATGCTTAGTGTCATCCAAAAGCACCTCTAAACTTATGTCTTGCAAGTAAGCTAGCAAGTTAGCCAAGTTCAAATTTCCTTAAAATTTTATCTATTCAGCAGCTTTTCAGTCGTCAGTTAAGTTTCTGAAGTCTTTGTTGCAAAATTAGTCTCAAAAAGCTGAAGTTACTCAATACTTAAGACTTTCTTGCCAAAATTACACTTGAGAAAAGATCTGGTTTATACTGTTAACACTAATCAAAATTTGGTCAAGAAATATATGTAAACAATAAGGATAATACATTTAAGGCTTAGAAAGAACACGATTCACCCCTGTCACATTAAAACATCCACATCTCCTTCATGGTCCTCCTCAGTCACTTTCAAAGAAAGCACTTCTTCATTAAGAAATAATCCACTCAGTCTTTCCTTACGAGCTTGTCTTTGTTCTTTCAGTTGTCTCTTGCGTAAGGCCTTTTGCTGTAGTTTCCGTTGCTTGGAACGTTTCTGTCAAAATACAGAAGAAATAAAAATAAGACTTTGTTCTGTAGATTAGAAACCATGTTTAAAGCTGGCAAATATAAATTAACCTCTAAAACAACATCTGCTCTGAAAAACAAGTGAATTCTCAGAAGCATTGCAAACATTCATCCAAAATCATATCTAATATTTTAATATCATCCATTTGCCATGTCTGAGTTATGAGGCACATCATCAGCTTGCGATCTCGCATAGCTGAGTCTTTGATCAGAAGAATCTTTATTGCAGGGGAAATGTTACAGTCTTACAGTAACCACCTGAGATGTTGAAGAGCAATCAGGAACTGCTCCTCTCCTCCACACTTGAAACTGAAATTATGGAGACAGAACAAGTGCTACAGTACTACTTTAATTGAAACATGCTTCAGTAGGTCACTCTTCACCCAGTAATCTCATGAGATATGTTGGAAGAATAAATGAAGAAGATTCAAAAAGCCTGATGAAACATCTAGTTGGGAAAAAAACACAACCAAGGCACCTTTACTATCCAGAAATTATGCTTAGCTTAGTTTGATCAATCTGGAATAAATTTTTTTGGTAGAACTGTGTTCATTCAAAGAATTAAGTTAGATGCATAAGCCTTTATTCAACCTCCACTCACCTTAATCTAAACAAAACCATTTAGAAGATCTACTACAGAGAAACATCAGGCTTTCACTTAGAAGCGAAGTCATGGGCAGAGCACAAGTTTAAATTCCTTATGGTCATGTCAGAGGAAACAGTCAGCATTGGTTTAGCTAGATAACTTCAGCAGATCCTCAGTTACCAACCATGCTCCTTCAGTGCAAATATCCCAGTTAAGATCACATAAGCAACCTTAATAAGGTAAGACAGCTTAATACACGTGTACATAATTAGAAACTTTACTTTTGAATCCCGGATTCTTTCTGCAGCACTCGTGGACAAATTACTATCACTGTGCGCTCGACTCATGTTGGCACTCGAGTTTGAAGCGGAGTTAGCAACACTAGAACCACTGCTGCTTGCTGAGCTGACCATGCTGGCACTGCTGCTGCTGGCACTGGCACCGCTCACGCCACTGGTACTTGCACAACTGTAGCTACTCCTCTTCCAGCTTTCCCTTGCAGACCGTTGACGAGGTCCGTGTTCCTTGATATAGTTTCTCACCTTTAGAACAGAGGCAGCAGAATTACTAAAGCCTGATAAATACTGTACTGAGACACTCCTTTTCATGGAAAAAACACAATTTGCTGATTAATAACGATCAAGTTCAGTTAGGCTTTTATAACATTTTGCTGTGGCTGCTTAAATCCCAAGCCATCTGGCAGTCATCAAGAGAACTTAACTAAGAACTAAGTTAATATTAACTTCATTATGGTACAAAGAAAACTAAGTAACAAGTTTGGGGTTTTTTCCCTCCTCTCCTGCCCCCCAAGTTTTCTACTGCATAACAACAAGTTACATAATACCAAACAGGAATATCAGTCAAGTTCAGCTGAACTAAGTTGCTCACCTACTGTATCAAACCCCTTTATTTTGCTAGGTATACTCAAACAGAAGTGGCTGTAAGGAAAGCAGTACTTTTCTACTTTAGGATGATACTTATAAAATGTTTGAAATATGAAATAGGCCAAGCCCATACGAGCAGAGAGTGTTTTCCATTTTCAGTCTTTACGTTCATCATAATCACAAATATAGAATAACACTGAGGAGTCCAGCTTGCTTGGATACTGCATCTTTTCCCAACAGCTCATCACAATAGACCAAAGACTAAGATGACAGTAGCATATATCTACCATACAAATGATAACAACGAGGAGTACCTGACTGGTATTTTGTAAGATCTTTAAAACACATTTTTCTATATCCCTTTTTACATGAAATTTATGGTCTTCCCCAAAGAATTCCAATCCTCTGGAGTTTTAAATGCTAGTGTATATTCAGTGAGCAAATTAAGATCCTCAACCAGCTGATGGTCATGAAGCAGAACATGCTCTGTCATAAGCAGCACTGGGCCACAGCATAACTCATTACACACACACCAGCTGAGGCTTAACACATATTGAGTCTTTCGCATAAAGGTTTAATACATACAATATGCTTTTGAAGTCTATTTTCCCTCATTCACAATATTGTGCTCTAGTGTATCTCACTATATCTAATGATTATGTAGCAAAATCTCTTACAGAGTTGCAAACAAAAGACATAGCAGATGCTGAAACCCCAAAGTCATATGTGCAAACCTTAACTCACCTGTTTCAGTTTTTCATCTGTGAGACAGTTCAATTCAATAATAAATTCGCTATCTGTAGGTGAGATCTGAGCAGTAGGATCAATAATTTTAATAATATCAAGTTGCTCTCGAAGGCCCATCTCTGTACTGACTTTGCGACTCAAATATTCAATATATTCAACCTAGGACCCAAAGAAAGGCAGGTCATTTTAAAGTACTATCGATTCTAAATGAGTGACAGAAAAAAGGAAGGACCAACAGAATAACATGTGCTCAAATATCATGTTTCCTATGATTCTAGCCTCATGGAGTATCACCAAAAACTCAGGGTGAAAAGCTGTTAAACTGCCTACTACAGATGCAAAAGACAAGAAGATTCAGTTTCAAGAATCAAGTAGTACTGCACAGGTCTACATTTACACCTACAGCAATTAGTGTGTCTTTTAAGATGTGTCACTAATTAAAAGTTCTTCTTTACATTACGGTTCTCACATAGGAAAAAGGTCAATTTCACCTGTTCATCATTTGTCATTGCACTCCACGGAAGTTCGTCAAGATTCCTATGCTTGTTTTTCTTTTTCAGAAGCAGGCAAGGAGAGCTCGGAATACTGGGTATAACATCAGAAAGTACATCACTCCCACTTGTAATGTCACTGCCAGGCAACTTGTAATATGCAAAAGAAAGAACAAAGCCTTAGAATACAGTAGGCAGATTTAAAGTCATTCTAACACTATTAACAATTCAAAACATGCCCTCAAATTAGCAAAGCGTCGCTCATCTATGTGCTCTAACAACTTCTTAATAATTACTCATAACCCTGCAGTACTCCTTTGAATCTTCCAACAAACAGCAAGTGCAGCAAAGTCAATTCACACTATCCTCTACTTATCAATCCTCTTTTTAAAAATTTGCATTTAAGAAAACAGCAGAATGATGTGGCATTTCAACTACTTCCCTTCTCTGTCAGTGCAAATTGTCCATTACAATGCAAACCTAAATCTAAACCTCCCATTTTAAAGCATAAGTCTAGTTTAAGGAAGATTATTTCAAAGTAGGCTTGTGATTTACAACACACCCCATGATTACACAAGACAATTCATTTAAGATCACTGTAATTTTCCTGGAAGCAACTGCAGAACTTTAGCTAGCTTCATTTATACAACTGACATGTAATTTCTGAATGCACTTTCCAGTTAAAGTGTGACAGTTGGATTACTCATGCTCAGATTCTGCCAGATAACACCATAAAGAACTACGAAAAAGTCTTTCCAAAATTCTACAAGTCCAAGCAAGTATGTCTCTTAAGAAATGCTTGTTTTAAAAAACAAAGAATAATTTAAAAAGCTAGTTACTAATCAAACATGTTGTCAGCTAATGAAGACATGGGAAATTGTTTATTTTCAAAACAATTGCCAAGTTTATCAGGCAATTTAAATTTCACAGCTCAATGAAGCTCTGCATCTCTGGGATCTGACCTGAGTTGTTCCTACAGGCTGCATTATACAAACGCACTTGTAACTTGTGTGATACGATATACATAAAGACTAGCAGTGAGACTAAATCAGGAAGAAATTCAGAGCTAATCTCAGGCCCTGTTATCTCAAGTTCATTTGCATCTTCTGGAACAGGATTCGCGCTGTCTTAAAAATCAGTGTTTTCAGTCCTTATACTGCACTAAGACGACTCTGTACATACTTTGACTAAGCTTTGTGACAAAATTTAAAAGTATTACTCAGTATATTCTGAAGCACCACGTTTCCTATTTCAAAGTTATGTGTAAGTTCACAGCTGATTTAAGTCTATAATATAAAAAGGCAATTAAGGTCTATAATATGTAAAAAGATTTGCATATCACAATTGAAAAACTGCTGAACAAAGACGACTACCACAAACTAGAGATACATGACCAGGATGGCATCCGATACAGACTAGGAAAAAGGAGGACATGATTCACCTTCACACTTTTCCCATCCTAGGGAGACAAAGCGAGCTCTGTACTCCTACTAGCACAGAAAAGAAAAGGTGGAAATAGGCTATGGCAAAAGCTTCTACACTTTACATAGGTGCCAGCTCCATTCCGAAGGAAGATTTAATACAACCGAATCACTGGAAGCAGACATCTATAACCAGATTTAATTAGCAGGGCAGAACCTCACTCAGTACAAAGGATCTAAGCTCGTGGCTACAAAACACATGTTGGTCATTCAAACCAAACTACCATAATACGTAAGCACCCCTCTTTGAAGAGCTGGCCTTCTGCCTTTCCTCCAGATTAACACTGGAATAAAATGGAACAAAACGTTTTCTGTATTGCTGAAGATTCAGATACCTGCTCTTACATTCAGTAGTTACCAAGAAACAAAATGCTGAGGACTTTTCAATTAAAGCTAAACTCAGCACTTAATAATCTATTCAAAATTTTACATTTACAGTGGAACTAGTTTACCTGCCATTCAAACTCACTGTCTGACCAGTCCCAGTACGTGCTGATAGAAGAGGAGACGTCACTGCAGACACTGCCCTCAGGGAACAAATCGAAGGAGGTGAACTCCTGGTCATCCAACAGAGAGTAACAGTCATCTTGATCTCCAACTGAAACTGATGAGAACAGCTCCTCGCTGCACTCTGAGCTGGCTACGCTGGTTCCACAAGATGTCAAGTTCCACCTGCAAAACAAATAGAAAGCAGCAAATGTATTGGCATCATGTGTCCTGAAAAATGCTTAGTTCTTTTAAGCCCCATAAAACAATCTCCCCCTTGCTTGCAGTAACATTATGCACTGATTTTACCAAAATAAGTTGTACTTATGTAAATTGAAGTATTCTATTTTAAAATATTTTTAAAGATCCATAAAGAACACCAAAGAGAACTGAATGTTAAAAATGGCAAGGCAAAAAATCCATATACAGGTAGCATAATTACACCTTTATTTTAACATATTAACTCTTTCCACCCTAGAGCCATGATTCCTGCAGCGTGTAAATTGTCTTTTTTTTTTTTTAAGTTGTTTTTTTAAAGGCACTGAACTAAAAATATGATTTCCCATATGTTGGGATATTTGAACTTCCATGTAAATTGAAATAAGCAAAACTAAGAAGTAAGTCAACTGGACTTCAGGAGTCAAAAAAAATTCTGGGTTGATAATCCCACACAAAACTAAGGCTTAACAAAGAAACACATTATGGATATATTCAGGGCTCCATTATTCACTATTTTCAACTCTGGATGCCAAAAATATTGGAATATTGTTGGAATGAGACAGTGCAAGATGGGAAAAAGACCTGTGTGAAAATGCTACCATTGCAAAACTAAACACTTCCTTCCCTTCATAATTTCATTTAAAAAAGCTAGTTAATGCTCTTGCTAAAGGAAAGCAATTGGGAACTCAGACTTCACAGAACAGGTTTTCTACTCTAATGAGAGTAAGCCAGAATTTAACAAGCTCATTAAATCAGTCTCCATATCTGAATTGATTTTACATATTGGTGAAAAGTAGGTTGAGACAGCTATGAGTCAGCACAGCACTGCAATATGGCCAAAACAGTTTGACAAGGGCTTCTAAAATTCACCACCCGAACCCACGCTATCATCTCCCATTCCATCAGCCTATGCACTTTGGCCTGGCTAAGTAGAAAACCATTCCGCTATCCAACTGCAAAAGCTGAGCAATGCCATCACCCAGAGAGGCTGGTCCTCACCATTGTTATTTAAGCCGCATACCAGGTTGGCTAAATATGTTTGTGATTAACTCACTCCCACATCTATTTGGCCAGCAGTGATTTTATCCAGTATTAAAGACATTTCAAAAAGTTCTCTTTTGGCAGATCCAGGAGATCTTGCCCGCCCTCCCTCCCTTTCTGCATCCCTTATACATGTGCAATGCTTTACTGGTGCAGACTTCTATGGGCAGGGCAGTCAATTGGCATGGAATAGAACATGAGCGTGGTGACACAGAACGCTTTTGAGCATTACTATAGTTTCGGTATTCATGAAATATCGATGAAAGATAGGGTGGACAAAGTTTCCAGACCCATCAAATCACAGGATGAGGTACCGGGGCTCTACCACCAACCAACTACACGCAGATACTCCAGGTATGCAGCATCACCGCAGGTACAGGCAGTCAGCCCTCGCCTTCCCCTACCTAGGGGGGCCTGATGTACTTGCTGGGCTGAACTGGATTAACAAGAAGTGGGAACTACATTAGAATTACTCATAACGTTAAAAACCAGAAAGCTTTATGTGAACACCACAGACTGAGCCGTGCATCTATGATGGCTTCATCAGTGCAAGACAGGGCACGTCCTTGCCCAAAAAAGTGAAATACTGACTCAAGATGCCTGGGTTACAAACCTGGGTTTGTAAAATGAGCAAGGCTGAATAACACACCTGGGAAGTGAAAGGCAATACAAAGAGAAATGTACAAAATTAATTAAATGCAAATTTGGTGACTATCACCCATTTATCTTACAGATACACTACAAATACATCTCACTGCTCGTGTCACAACTGGGTCTTACAACGCAAGAACCAGACCATGGAAGTGTATCGTATTTGATCAAGGCTCTTCATGCTGAATCATTTAAGAATCTATAACTAAAAGCTTGCCCTTGTGAATGACACTTTTAAAGTATAATTTCCATGATCTCATACAAATTCAGTTGGAAGATTACCTTATTATTCACTCTTCATTATAGTGTAGTAGAAACAGTAATAACCCGTAACAGCATCTTGCAACTCTGGAACAGGAACTAAAACTATCCCACATGTATGTCCAAGACTGAAACCTCACAAAATGTTCTCAAAATAAGCTATTGCTGTATTCAAGTTTAATACTCTGCATAGATAGCAGCAGAGCCAGGTTCTTCGGTAAGCAGGACTGTTTGGGTTTGATTTTATAAGCACAACTAGAATTTCTTTGTAGAGCTGCATTTGCATTTTTAGACTAGACCTCTTCTACAAATTACAGACAGAATAGTTTGCCCTTAATTAGTAGCATGGGATGGAAATGTTTCTGCAGGAATCAGCGCAGTCACCAAGCCTCCTGACTCATTCTGAACCTCTATAGGTTTGCTTGGTGCCCACGCCAGGCCTGCTTTTAATTATTCCAAACACACCGCTCTCTAGTTGCGCATCCTGCAGCGCCCAAAACAGCATTTGAAGACATTCGGAGAGGAATAAATACATCTTAAAGCCAGACCGAGCTCCCACTGGTTAACAACCGTAACGTTGCGAGCCGAAACCAGGCCGAGCCCACACACAGCCCTGCCCGAGGGAAGCGGAGCCCACGCCAGGGCACCCAGCGGGCTCAGCGGCCGCAGCCCG